TGCCAATCTCCTCGTATGCAGCGGTCTACTATTATGGCGATTCAACGAGATTTGTTCCTCTACAGGTCTTTGTAGGCACTTTGGCGGTTGAATTTCTTATGTTGTCCATTATTGGCGTGAGCTATGGTGGTGCAACGACGCGAGATTTCGGCAAGAATTTTAAGGCATATAGTCGTGGTCATAGGCTCCTCCTTTTTTCAGATGTTTTCGTGTATGTGGGTTCAATTACCCTATATCCGATTGCATCGAATCTTCTATTAATCTAATATAAATCAGATATAATTTAAAAAATAAAAAGGCATGCTACCTTAATGAAGTCATCCTCGTGTTGTTGAAGATGCATCGACTCCTTTCTTTTCCCACACAATAATAAAATCCATTAACGGTGGCGCAAAGGGCGCACCCTCGCCTATGCCACGTTCATGATTTTTACTGTCGCGGGATCTACCCCAGGATAACACCTCACCAAAGTAAGTACGTCCCACTTGTGACGCCCCGAGACCGATGCGCCAGGTGTCTTTCAGTTGTTCGTCGTCGTTGCCATGTCATTTGCTCATGTGTTGCATCTTGTCATGTCATCATGTGCATTGTATCATCATGTTTTCAAAACTTGCATCCATCCCGGTCTCCTTGTTATTTCCGTTATCCGTTCTGAGCCCAGCCACACTTACACGCGCCCGCGGCACGTCCGAAATATTATTTTATAAGTGGCCAAAAGGGGTCTCGGAATGGGATGAGAGTTGGCGTGCGGTCTTGTTATAGTGTAGGTAGACCGCCTGCCAAGTTTCATCACATTCAAAGTCCGTTTGATAGCCCAACCGTTAAACTATAGCGGCAGTATAGCCGGTCAATACGTCGGACGTTTTCGATCTCCAAAAACTGCTGCCGGGTCTCTCTCTCTCTCTTCTCTCCTCTCAGCCCGAGCCCTTCTGCACAGCCCACAAGTTCCAACCGACCCCTCCTCACGCGCGTTCGAAAGCTGTCCTGGACCCGACCCGGGCAGTCGTCACCGTTGGATCCGGATCATCCCCTAACATCTACAAAACATCTCCATTTTTCTGTTTGGACTCCCTAGCCTATTTTTCTCGACCGCCTGATTACGATCGGATGGACCGAATACCCCCTAACCTAACCCAACAACGCATATAAAAGGGCAACCCTAAATTTTAGGGAGTTATCCCATCCATTCCATCACCGCGCTGCCACTCCACCTCGTCTCTCCTCCCACCTTGGGATCTTCCTAGATCCAAATCCTCCCGCGTCCAAACCAACCAGCAACCGATCCCCCCTACCTGAACTCCTCACCGCGCCTGCAGCTCCTCGCCGGAGCAGGCAACCGAACTGCAGCCAGGCCTCTCCCTCTTCCCTCCGCTTCCCCTTCCCTCTGCTTCCCCTTCCCTCTGCTCTTCATTCCCCTCTATGACCCCCTGCTTTTCCCCTCTTGTCGACAGGAACAATGACGCCATGGCGCCCGGATCTTGAGCTCGTCCGGCACCACCATCTAGACCCATCTCCGGGGACCGGATCCACCTCCCACCGCCGGGAATCGGTTCCCCTCGACCTCGCGCCGCCTCCGGTGGTCGTCCCGCCGTCTACCATCGTCGGAAGCACCAACGCCTCCACCACTCACCTTCCTGTAACGCAAGCAGCCACTTCGGCATGACCCCAGCTTCGTTGACCGGCCATGGCGCGCCCCTGCCTCGCCAAGTCCGTCTCCAGCCGCTGCAGAGCCGCTCCTTCGCCCACCCCGCAAGCCTGCCTCCAGCGTCCCATCACCTTGGAGCAGTCATGGTGGCGTCGTCCTCCTCCAACCCCGTGCAGACCTGAAGCCCTACCCTGTGGCCCCGCCATCTCCATCGCTCCCTCGCAGCAGCCGGACCTTTGCCTCGCTGGAGAACACCGTCCTCGACCGGAACCCCATCGCCGCGTTGCTGTTTCAGGCCTCCTGC